TACCCCAATGTTAGGCAGCTCAATTGAGACTGCTGCAACCATATTAAAAGTTCCATCTCATTCTAGAACTCATTTAAGACGTCCCTAGTAGGGTGACCTACTCCTCATGGTTTGCCTGAGACGTTTTCTGTTCTAGCATTGAAAGTCTCCTATGTCCCAGAAACCCTCTTAATGTCTGACAAACTGGGAAGATTGGTCACTGTGGTCCTTAGAGCAAGGCAGGAGAAGTTCTTAGTTGACTTAGTTTCACTCGGTGAATGATGAAAATCCATCACCATCTTGAATTTCTTAGCTTATTTTCCTTACCAGTAGGTATGATTACTCTAGCAGGCCACAAAACAGAATGTTCTTTCCTTCAGGAATCTCTACCTTTTATTTATTTATTATTTATTTATTCATTTATTTATTTAAATATATCTTATTGATTTCAGAGAGAGGAAGGGAGATGGGGGGGAGAGAGAGAGAGAGAGAAAACATCAATGGTGAGAGAGTCATTGATCAGCTGCCTCCTACAGGCCCTGGACTGGGAATTGAGCCCACAACCTGGGCATGTGCCCTGACTATGAATGGAACCAAGATCTCCTGGCCCTAGGTCCATGCTCAACCACTGAGCCACACCCGGCCAGGCTAATCTCTACCTTTTAGCTCTGTCAAGGCATGTTCCCATGAGCATCCCAAGCAATGACTCAGGTTGAGGATAATCCCAGGGATCCAGGTGAGAGTATCTTCCAAGGCTTCTAAGACTGCAGGTGGCTTGTGTTTTTTTTGTAAATGCTGCACACGGGTCTCATAATCATCCTGTTTTTCTCAAGTTCTATCTTCCTCTCTCCGTAATCAGTCTAGTGGTACTCCTAAACCTAGTTTCCTATCAGAATGATACTATGATACACATATAGACAGAGAGGCTTGGATGTAAGACATGAACCACTTACAGTAAATTCCATTCTGATCCTTGTGAGTGACTCGTTTTTAAACATTCATGCATCCCTTTCATTGCCCTTTAAAGCCTTACGATTTTGTCATTTCACCTTCTTGCCTTTCACCTAGGTTCTTAAATTTAACTGCTATTAAATACCACCTCAAAAAGAGTATGTCAAGTGTAGGGTTTGAATTAGAAACAGATCTAGGTTCCAAGGAAATGTTGCCCCTTATTAAGGTGCATAACACTTAGGAAAGTTTACCAAAGTTTTAAAATTTGCTCATCTAGGAAGAAAATAATGGCTCTTTTAGAAGACTGGTTTTACTGAAGAATGCAGATTACGGATGTGAATATTGCCTGACACCTGGTACTGGCATTCAATAAACTAGCTATCATCCTTGCGGCAGCGCCACAAGCTCGCGGCAACGGCAGCACTCGCTGAGCTCAGCCCTCGGGCTGCAGGTTCTGGCCTCGGGGACGGCGCCCAAAGCAGAAAGGCCCGAGCCGCCTCCCGAGAGCGTCGCGGGAGGAGCCGTGCAGTCGCCGCAGTCTCACCGCCTCGCCTGAAGCAGCGGTGCTTCTCGCGTCTGAGGCCAGCGTCTAATGCCCCCCCCGCAGTGTGTTCTGGAGGCGCTGGCTTTCAGGTTTGCTCCCTCGGGAGCTCTCGTGTCACGTCTCTCAGTCTGGAAAGCGGAAGGGGTGAAGAAAACGGGAAGTCACCGAAATGCAAAACCTGCCACCAGAGGCCCGATTCTGCCCCGGCCCCCGGGAGCCTGCCCGGGTGGGCCGCACAGCCGTTTCGCTCTGAGATTTCCAGACGCCACCCCCAGGTGCCCGTCGGCGCGGGCCAGGCGCAGGGGGGGCGCTCGCCCACAAGCGGAAAGGCGGGCGGGGAGGCTGGCCGCGCGCGTCAGCGCTCTGGCTAAAGCGCAGAGCAGGAGCGCGCAGGTTCGCACCGGGCGCTACGGGCCAGAGGGGCGGGAGCGAGGACCCAGCTGGAGTCGGGGCGGAACCTGACGGAGGACACAGAGCGTTTCTTCGCATTCTCAAGAAGGCGCCCCTATTTGCCGGGGCTGCGCCGGGAGCCCGCGAGCAGGGGAGGGGCCTTACGTGACAAGCGCCTTCCCGGGTTCCCTATCCGAGGCTCAGCTGCTAAACGCAGAGCCACGGCGAGCGCCGCAGGCGGACACACCGGCTTCGCGGGAAGCCTCGGCCCAGCGGGGCGCAGCCTAAGCAGCGGGCGCGCGACCTCGTGCCCGCCCAGCCCCGGGGCCAGTCCTAAAACCCGGAAGCGCGCCCCGGTCGCCAACAGCCGCGGGCTGCGCATGCTCGGGGCGAGGGGGCGGGCCGCTCGGGCGGAAGCGTTCTCCGCCAGGCGGCGTTTCCTTCCTGTGTGAGCCTAGCGCTGGGCTCCTGCTGCCGCGGGTTTTGCACCGGGGTGAGTAGCGGGTTCCGGCGGGGCCTCGTGGTATGGGCGCGGGACCCCACGGAGCGCCTTCGGGGGCCGGCTCGGAACTGGGAAGCCTAACAGGAAAGGCCACTCTCCTTCCTCCCATGTCCCGTGTCAGTACGGCCCCCCAGCTCCCCCCCTATCCCTTGGTATCCAGCGCATTAACCTCCAAGGGCGTCCCGGGCCTCACCTTGGCTTTCCGCCCGGCCTAGGCCCTTGGGTGTCAGCGCTGTTCCCAAGAGTTAGGCCACTTCCTACAGGGAATCTCTGTTAGCAGCAGGGTCCCTGCCTGGGCTTGGGGTGGTCCCGGGCGACCTCAGAATCGGGGGCTGGTTGTTGCACCGACACTGCTACCACCTGGTGCAAAAGCGGAGGTGGTTCCCAAGGCCTGGGCACACTTTCGCACAGGGTGATGTTAATTATAACCTGTCCTTTATGTGAAGGTTGGCAGTCTTTCATTGACATAGGCTGTGTTCATAGGACCTTGATGTGTGCGAAACTGGGTCTTTGAGGTTGATAAAAACTTTGTAAAACACTGCCTTGAATCAGGAGAGAAATACTGTAGTGTGAACACTGTACTCTTGGTCCTTAACCTGTCAGTAAATTGCTCCTTGACGAGGTAGTACGATTTCAAAGTTTTCTACCCCGAAATGGAGAACTCTCTAAAATGAAACTATCCGGTGTCATGTTTCCCGAGCAAATAACAGAATTACAGTGTTTTGTGATGTTTCTTAGCTGTACATAGCACCATCTATGTTTATGTACATAAGTGTGTGTTATTTTGTTGACCCTAATGTTTATACGAGGTTGAAATACATTCTCTACTGCTTTATGCACATGCAGCTTTTATTGTAAATTCTGCTGTAATGACATTGTTACTGTCACGGCCTTACATTGCAGACATATCAATATCACATGAATGATAGATGAGTGTGCAATAAGGTATATACAGTTACAACCTACAAGTAGAAGTTTCAGTTTCATTTCAAGATTATGAGGTCATTTTAAAAGATGGACTACTATTTTAGAAGTGGCCATAGTTCTAGACTACTGTATTACAGTCAATAATTTAGTTATGGGAAATACATAGTTAACAGAGGTTTTGTATCTTGATATTTTTATAGGATTAAAATTGTTACTATCTTGATGACTGGGATGTACTGATAACCTTAGTTTTTCATGTAGTTCAGTGAACATCCAGTAGATGGCAGTTTTATCACTACTAAATCAAACTTGAAATAAATGAAAACCTTTTATTCAGATATCTCTAGTTTTCACAGATTGTTGTTAAAACCCTTATTTTGCCTATTGGTTTACTTTCATTAATGAATAATGCCCTCAAATAATGGTACCACATATTCCATCCAACTGCATTTTCAAATTTACTCTGTTGGAATAAAGGCTAGAGAAGTAAAATCTTCACATCCTATAAGAAGTGGAATATTGTTAACCTATTTTTAGGAATTCATGCTGATGGAAAAAACTGTACTTTGATTTGTTACATGAGACATTTTAATTAGGTGGCTTCTTTTCCTTAGCTCCATTTTAAAAAATGCAATTAATATAATAACCAGACTGTGCCTTCCTTGAGTAATTGTATCTTAGCCATTATTGTGTATCCAGTATATAGTAGGCATTATATATACCTGTATAATAAGTGCTTTATTGTATGAGTGAAATCATTTAACGTTCCTAGGCCAAAGTTTCTTCCCCCAAAATGAAGGCTTTCAATTATTTAGTTAAGTTTAAATTAAATAATGTCCTATGGTAAAGTGAATGGCTTCTCATAATGGAGAAGTAAAGTGAATGGAACCCTTGACTTTTCTTTGGAAGTCATTCAAAAATCTGGCAGTAATTGTGTTAGAATGATTGAATGGGAAGTTTTTCTGCAGTTGCAATTTATCTGTTAAACAAATAATTATTGAATAGTCTCTTTTTTGTATGTAACATTTATAAAAATGGGTAAAATATAAATCTTGTTTATAAGGATTTAAACTCTCATTGAGTAGACTCAGTATCACATAAGTTCAATAGTACAACCAAATTAATAACATAGAGGATCAGGAGGTTTTTGAAGTTTGGATAGAATTTGACTAATCCTAGGTGAAGGGGGAAAAATGACCCGCCCAGGGTACCAGGCAGATAGGCTGGAGGGATAATACATGGGGCATTTTCAGATCCTAGTGACACCAACTATTGAGGATCTTTATTGAGAAGTGGTGAAAAGTAAGATGCTTAAGTTACTCTTTGGGGCTAGATTAGAATAGTCTTTAATGGTTAGGGTTCCTATAAATAAAGGGAAAGATTTGGGTCTTTTTATTAGGGAGGAATATATACTTGAATGGAGGAAAGGTATCCAAAGGGTATTTCAAAATAGTTGGCACTATTTTATTTTTTATTTATTTATTTATTTTAAAAATATATCTTTATTGATTTCAGAGAGAGGAAAGGAAAGGGAGAGAGGGAGAGAGAGACAGAGATAGAAACATCAATGATGAGAGAGTCACCGATCGAGCCGGCGACCCAGGCATGTGCCCTGACCGGGAGTTGAACCCCAGTCGCCTGGATCCTAGGTCGACGCTCAACCGTTGAGCCACACCCAGCCGGGCGTTGGCACTATTTTAGAGGGAGGGTGTGAAGAGGATCTTTAATTGAGTAGTGGTAGTGAGAAGAGAAATAAATGATAATTTTTAGAGCTGGAATGACCATAGATACTAATCTGTGCAGTATTTAATTTTTCCTGTTGCTGAGCCATCTGTACAAATTCTGATTCCCTTTCACATGAGTGCAAAATATATTCTCTTTTTTTCCCTTGTCATTTAGCACTCAGCACATTTCTGTTCTATGAGAGTATAAAGCATTATTTGAAGCTGAGATTCCATCTCCCAAAATGTGATAGTCACATTGTCCCCAGCAAACTTATTTTTTTGGGTAGGCATTGCCTTTGATGGGGGTGTGCATGCCTCCTGTAAGCCTAGCTGTGACTGATGTAGCTGCTCAGAGATATAGTAAAAGTAGGTACATTGCCTTTTTTCCTCTCTATCTTGGGTGCATGCTGTATTTTTGTGGTTCAAAAATATTTGAGATTCTGTTGGTTCAGATAGAGTTGGGTTATAGGAAACAATAGTATGGCTCAAAAAAATTAGTATCACTTATTAAGGAAATGACATGTATAAATTTAAGAAGGCTTTGAAGACCTTTAAAAGTAAGTATGAGGAAATAGTGAATTCACAATTTGAGTTTTATTCAAAAAATTACCTGGCTTAAATTACACTTAATAGAAGAAATTCATACCATCACATTAGTAAAGTATTTCATTGTTGGGCTGCCTTTCTTCAGTTAGATTAGTGTTATAGTCATTATTTTTCTAGTCTCTGAAATAGTTATTTTAAAGCTGTTTGAAGAGTAAATACCTTAAGATGTTTATTGTATTTTGCTAGTAGAGTTATTCTCTACTTAAATTATATGAGCTTTTAGGCAAGTTCATTACAAATTCTATAAAATTAACCTCAGTTTCTAATCTGTCCCTTCAGTTTCCAAGGGGAGTTTAAAATGTGTTTGTTTACCTAACATTTAAAAATCCATTTCTCCTCAAAATAAAACACTTTTTTAAGGTAGGTAATGTTGAATTTGACTAGTAGTTTTTGTTGCTTAATTTAAAGTTCTTACCAGCCTCCTAATTTTAATGACTAGTTGTTACCTAGTGACATTTCTGTTTGTTTTTTAAGGGTAGCTGTCAAGATGGTACATGCTGAAGCCTTTTCTCGTCCCTTGAGTCGGAATGAAGTTGTTGGGTTAATTTTCCGTTTGACAATATTTGGTGCAGTAACGTACTTTACAATCAAATGGATGGTAGATGCAATTGATCCAACCAGAAAGCAAAAAGTTGAAGCTCAGAAACAGGTATGATTAAAATCTTTGAGGGTCATTTCTCTTGTAGCTAGCAAATATTTTTCCATAAAACTAAGGATATAGTAGAATTATAAGTTAATGAGAAGTCCTGTAAGATTCACATTAAAATGTTTATGTCATATTTAATTTCATTATTCCTAAAAATAATTGTTTCTCAAATCCTTTTTGATATATAAGCAACTTAGAAGAGAAAATGATGAAGAATAAAAATAGTATTTGGTTGCGAATATTCTTATTAGATTATTTCTGTCAGTTATTTGTTATCTGAAGGAATCTAGGTAAAACTTTTGAACAGATTAAACAAAATTTATCTTTAGTAAGGCATACATTTTGCTTTGTATGACATTTGAAATGTGGGTAATACAAATTGTCAGTTTTAGACTTACAAACTACACAAATTTCTAATTAAGGAATTGCTAAAAAAACTCATTGTTAATATAAGTTGTAATTTTATTTTTCAGCTACTGCCTCTTGTTGTCTTTTCCTCTTAGGATGATATATTTGTTTTGGTTCCTACTTTTTTCTAAAAAACAAAAGCCTTCAAGAAGTCTTTCAAATTTTTCTTGCTGTTCGAGGGCAAGATGTTTTATTCATGGATTTTTTAGATTTCTTCTGTGAGTTGTGACTCTGATGCATTCAGTAAACCTTTATTGAGCTCCTAGCAAGTGCTTGGTGCCGAGGATAAAAGATGAATAAATTGTGTTCTTTGAGATGCTGTAGGCTGATGTGAGAAATAGGGATGTAAAGAAATGACGGTTTTACAGTGCTATTCATAGTTCTCAAATCAGTGAAAACTAGTTTCATAATTACTGCTTACTGTATATGTCTGAAAAGCAATTTGGACAGTTGTGAGTTTGTTTCTTGAGTTTGATTATAAAATAATTGACTCAAGGTCTAGATTATGTCATCATATCAGTCAATTCATAACTCTCTAGGACGTCTGACCAGTGTAGATTTTTTAAAAAATGAGTTTGAGTATATCCACGTGTCAGCCTAAGTGTACATCCTCTGCCCCTCATCTGAATCATGAAGTCAATTTAAGTCTGAGGTTAAATTATTGATAAGTATGTTATTTAAAGAAATTTTAAAAGCAGAATGTGACTTGAAACAGAATTTTGTTATTTGTTTTCTTGGCTTCTAAGAGCCCTGGAATACACATGTGGAAGACATGTAGAAAACCAAATATAGATACTTAAGTAATACATAAATACATTAAACCTTTATTGAAAACTATGTGTATAGTATTGTTCAAAATGTCACATATGTGAAGTAGCTAATACCACATCTAACCTGATAGTGTCCATGGTAGGGAGAAAAGACTTGTTTATGATCGTATAAATTATAATCATAAATAGATTATCTTCATTGCCTAATGAGTAGTGAAGACAAACTATGGCATTTAGAGAAAGCATTCACTGATGATTGAGGCAGTTGAGGATGACTTCATGAAAGACCTTGGCCTCCAGAATAGGCAAGGACAATTTTAAGTAGAAAAAATCATGAACAGAGTCATGATGGGGATAGGAATAACAAGACCTGTTAAAGGAACAGTAAATAGACTAGTCAGGTTGGAATAGAGTGTTTATGCAACTAACTAGTAGAACTTGGAGGGAGAAGTAAGGGACTAAATGATAAAGGACTTTGAGTACAAAGTTAGAGAACACAGCTCTACTTTTTTCTTACTCAGTCTTCTCAGTGTTTTGGTGGGTGAACAGAGGCTGTTAAATGTCACAGCATTGAGAAGTTCATCAGCTAAGGAGGAGGCATGCTTTCTGTTTCTCCAGCGGCTATAGCTTCTCTATTATCCTTCCTTTTTCCTGCCTTACTTCCCTGACTAACTATTGAAATACGCTGTTGACCAGTTGAAGTCTTTTGTATAGGCAGTGATAAACCATTAAACAGTTTTGAGTTGGTGGATGATGTGTAGAAATAGTTCTGGCAAAGACTTAGGTAGAGTAAGGGGGTGAAAAAAGGAATGGAATGGGTGAAAAGAATAATAATAATGAATGTTGGAAGGGCTTTGTGATGATACGGGAAAAGAAAAAAGACGCTTTACAAATGGATCCAAGATTTGTCTGGAGTCCTCAAAGACTCATAATATGTTTTTAAAAAAATTTTTACTTATTGAGTTGAGAGAGAGAGAGAGAGAAACATGGATTTGTTGTTCCACTTATTTAGGCACTCATTGGTTGCTTCTTGTATGTGCCCTGACCTGGGATCGAACCTGCAACCTTGGCGTATCAAGACGATGCTCTAACCAACTGAGCTACCCAGCCAGGGCTACTTAGGAACTGGTAGATAGGGCAAGTTTATGGGAAGATGACATTTGATTTGGGCATCTTATCCAACAACTTTCAGAATAAATACAATAAAATCAGAAGGAAGAAATGTAAGTGAACTAACCCTATGATGATGGTCTTAACATGTCCAAAAAGGTATATTTTCTACAATTTTAATGCATGTTTGTGATAAGAGCTTATACCTAATATATAAAGATAATTACTCAAATTCTTTGCTATTTTCTATTTAAGTGCATTTTTAAAAGCTTTGTATTAGTGATTTCCTCTGTCTACACTTAAATTGGAGTACTTTAGCTGTGACTTCAGTAAAAGGTTTTTAACTTATGTTTAATTAGTTCATTTATCTCTTTTTTAACCCTTTGTGGTCATTTGTCTACTCTCAGCCACCAAAGCTTTTTTACCGTTCCGGTCGTATGTCTGCTCTCAGCCACCACAGCAAGGAACCCTACGAATCTTAACTCTATTCATTCATGTATCAGTTCATAATTTCTCTTGTTTATCCTTCATAATCTTGCATGTTATGTATCACTACTCTTTCAATGGAAATTAATTCCGACCAGTACGACACCCATGTCCAAATTTAATACGACCACAAAGGGTATTTCTTGTTAATGCTATCTCTAAAATTATTCTTCCAAAAGAACAACCAATTTTAGTAAACTTTTAGAACCTAAATGAAATGAGTGTTTCTTTTGCTGCTTTTCTCCATTTCCTCTTTCCCCAGTTTAGGCAAAAATATTAGTTCACTATTTCCTACCCCACTTCTTAATTTTTAAAATCATATTTCACATGGAGAAAAAATGAAATAGCATGAAAGGATTAAAAATACTATGAAACAGTTAAAAAGATGGGTATACAGTAAAATGTAAGCTTCCCTCCCGCCTCTGACTCCCTTCACAACCCAGTTCACCATTTTTCCTCCATAGAAACAACTACTTGGAGAGACCCAATTAAAAACCAAGCAAATGTTGGTGACTAGAAAATATAATTGTCATTAAGCTGCAAATGGTAAACCAACACATGGACATAAGCCATTTTAGAGTAATCCAATCATGATTTTGTTTTTCTAGTTAAAACATTTTAGAAATAGAGGCTCAGTTAAATGTGTCGAAGCTGGACAATTAGGTAACTTATTACTGGAACAGTTTGGTGGTGGTATGGTGTTTTGGGATGTTTTCTTTTCATTGATAATTTTTTAAACCATGATCTGCTCTCCCAAATGAGGACTATTAGTGTTTCATCTGAATATAAGCTTTGAAATTAGACAAATTAGGGTTTGAGCTCTGGTAGTGCCAGTTTCTAGCTGTGTAGTCTTAGCAGTTCTTCTAATTTCTTTGATCCTTGAGTTCCTCATCTGAGAAATGAGAATAATAATAGCTATTCTCAGGATGGATTATAAAGTACCCACCACAGTGCCAGGTAATGTTGTAGATGCTCCATAGACATTAATTTATTTTTTCTCTCAGTGTTAATGCAACCTGAAGACATTGTTAAATGAGACTGCTGTTATGGGGAAAAGATTCTAGGTAAACTCGACTATAACAATTTCTGTCTCAGGGTAAAGAAAAATAGTTGATTTTTTTTTTTTTAAAGAAACTCCAGATATAAATAAAGATTGTTATTATTTAAAGCAAGAGGTAATTTTGGCCTGGAGTGAAATTTTAAGGGCAACTATCTAATGGGGAAAAAGGCAGGGTTTCTCAACTTGGCACTAATAACATTTGGGGCCAGATAATTGGGGAACATAGGGGGACAGGCTATCCTGTGCCTTCTAGAATGTTTAGCAGCATCCCTGTCTCTGCTGACTGGATGCCAGTAGTTCCCTCCTCTTCACCCAAGTGTTCACAACCAAAAGTATTCTCAGACTTTGCCAAATGTCCCCTTGGGTGCAAATTCACCCCCAGTTGAGAACCAACCACTATTTTAGAGCATGGCCTAAAAAAGAACACGTGGGATGGCTTTACATTTATAGAATCATAATGAAAAAGAAGAGTTAAGTTAATGTTGTTACAGATACTAAAATAGAATACCTTTCATAGCTGACACATAAAAGATTTAAAGGCCGTGAAAGAGAAGATATTTATAAGAAAAAGATAAAAGGATCTGGGGAAGGCAACTTTATCCATTGAGTAATTTTACAGGGGAGTGGCTAAATAGGAATAATGATGTGGTATATAGCACTTTTAAAAAATTCTATTATTACTAGAATATGATCAACACACATTTATCCACATCCTTTAAGCATTATCCTATAATGCTGAGTGATTTGAATTTCCTTGTAGAGCAGCAAGATCTTATATAATCACAAATATGTTAGGAAAAGGTAACAAAAATTTAGGTAAGTACATGATATAGCAGAGCACCTTTATTTCTAAAAATGTTCACTTATTTGAAATTTGAATGTTATTTTTAGATTATTGAAGACTCTTTAGTGGTCACAAACTTCCATCATATAATTGGGGAAACCAAGGTAATATGTGTGATGACTGGAGTATGGGCTCTAGTGTTAGACTGCCTGGATTTGTATATTGCCTCTTTCATTCACTCACTTCTAATCTAAAGTAGTTACTTAATCTGAGCTAAACTTCAGTTTCTTTTTCCAGGATGGGGGAAATTGTGCCTATCCCATGGGCTCTGAGGATTCAATGAGTTAGTTTATTTATAGTATTTTGACATAATATTTGGCACACTCAACTAAATATTTATCATTATCATGATTTTTATTTTAATTGAAAGCTTTGTTGCATTGTTAGAGCTCATAGGTTTAAGGTTAGTTTTGCCCACCTCTAAAAATATATGTAAGTATACTTCTAATTCAGAATCATTTTTATCATATTTGGTTGCCTAGCACCAGGAATTGACTAACTAAAAGGGACAGCATCTCAGAACAATTTGAAATTAGATAGGTATGAACACCTGTTGGAAATACCTGGGTAATTTGGAGGAAGTTAGGCACCTGTTTTCAGACACACTGTTTATATAAGTAGAGAAACTTCAGTTGTGCATTTCTTGTTTAGCATTAATTCCTCAGTCTTTCATCTTGAGGTTTCATCTCTAACTGTCATGATCATCCTACTAGGAAAGAGAAACCAAGTTGGAGCAGTGTGAGGCCCTGTGTATATCTCTTCAATCATGTACCCTATTTTCTCATTTCCCCTCATTTCTCAGGAGCTGGTTTAAATTGCCCTCGTTTCTGTGGAGTAGACCCTCAAATTTTTCTTTACCTAAGGACTTGCAATGGGAAAGGATGAGATCAAGGGGCCTGGAATATTCCTGGAAAATTCCTGTGTGTCCATTGCTTTTTAGATTTCACAGGTACCTGTTTTAAACTGCCAATATCTAAATATCAAACTAAAGGAGGTTGCTTTTTTTCTTTTTCCCTAGGCAGAGAAGTTAATGAAGCAAATTGGTGTGAAAAATGTGAAGCTTTCAGAATATGAAATGAGCATTGCTGCTCATCTTGTAGACCCTCTTAACATGCATGTATGTACCTTTAATCTTATTTAAGATTTTTGTTTTGGTCTAGAATTTTGTGTCAGTGGTCCCAAAGGCCACAGCCAGGTTTGATGATTCTCTAAGAGGAATCAGGATTCAGCATAGTGTTACTCACAGATATGACTTATTATAGCAAAAGGATACAAGGCAAAATCAGCAAGGAAAGAAGGTCATGGGATGAAGTGATAAAGTCTGAAGGTAATCAGGCACAAACTTCCAAGAATCTTCTCCCATTGAAGCCACACAGGATTCATATGATTCCTCCAGCAACAAGTTATGAGATCATTAGAGACTTCATGCCCAGGGTTTTAATTGGTACTGGTTGCGTAGACTTTGTTTTTCTAACATCAACCAAAATTCTGAAAGAAAATAGGTATTCGCCACAGAGCATGTTTGCACAAACAGTTTAGGCACAGTGAACTGTTCTTATCAGGGAATGAGGGGAACGCTCCTAAAACCTAAGTTCCCATACTCCAGTCAAGGGCCTGTCTTGCATGCAGGCCTTTCTAAGGATAATAATCTTTTTTTTTTTTTTTTTTAAGTATATCTTTATTGATTTCAGAGAGAGGAAAGGGAGGGGGAGAGAGAGATAGAAACATCAGTGATGAAAGAGTCATTGATCAGCTGCCTCCTGCACGCCCCCAACTGGGGATTGAGCCCGCAACCCAGGCATGTGCCCTGACCAGGAATCGAACCCCGATCACCTGGATCCTAGGTCGATGCTCAACCGCTGAGCCACGCCCGGCAGGGCAATAATCTTTTTTAAAAAAATATGTTTTTATTGATTTTAGAGAGAGGAAGAGAGAGGGATAGAAAAATAGAAGCATAGATGAGAGGGAAACATTGGCTGCCTCCTGCACACCCCCTACTGGGGATCGAGCCCACAACCCAGGCATGTGCCCTGACTGGGAATCAGACCAGCTTCCTAGTTCTTGGATTGACACTCAACCACTGAGCCACACCAGCAAGGCCTAAGGATAATAATCTTAGTCCTGATATGTTAGTTTATTTTTGCGCACTTTTGTTTAGTTAAACTTGTGCTTTTTTATATTTACCTTTGTGGTATATAAAATATATTGCTTTAAGTCATGTGGATACTTTCAAAATAGACACAGCTTGTATATTTTAAAGCCTTCTGACTCAAGTTTAAAAAATTTTTTTTTGGAAAAGAAACTAACTGAAAAACACCTTAAAAAAAAAAAAATCAACCGAACTCTAATATGCTGAGGGGCTGAATGTGGGGCCAGTCAGAAGCAATAGTTACAACAGACTTACTTTCTTTACGACTTTAAAAAAGTGAAAAAGTAATCACCTACTTTCACTGTAGCTATAACAGAAAACTGAGTATGTCAGTACAGCTTTACTCAGAAGTGAATATAGGTAAGGCCTCAAAAAAGTACCATTGTAAATTTATAAATCATTCAAATGGACGATCAGTTCTGGGGGTCTGTATATCTTTGTGCACACAGATAATGACAGATGTACATTTTTATCTTCCAGATATGGGAATAGAATATCGTATTTCATTTTATTTATACCTCTTGTTACAAAATTTATTTATACTTCTTTTTTAAGGTTTTTTTTTTTCAGTTAGTTTATTTTCCAAAACATTTTTTTAAACTTGAGTCAGGCCCGGCGGGGCGTGGCTCAGTGGTTGAGCGTCGACCTAGGATCCAGGCGATAGGGGTTCGGTTCCCGGTCGGGGCACATGCCCAGGTTGCAGCCTCGATCAGTGACTCTCTCATCGTTGATGTTTCTGTGTCTCTCTCTCCCTTTCCTTTCCTGTCTCTGAAGTCAATAAAGATACATTTAAAAAATAAAAATAAACTTGAGTCAGAAGGCTTTAAAATATACAAGCTGTCTATTTTGAAAATATCCTCTATTTACTATTTATAAAGACAAGTCTTAACACAGTTTTACTTTTGACTAATAAAATTCAGAAGTCTATTTTGGTGGTATAGACCTTTTTTCTAAAATTCATCCCTATTATGTTTGACAGCATCATATATGAATTAGGCACACTTCTGGTGAGCTCTTCTGTACCAGCAGTGCTGAATTAACTGAGCTGGTTGCCAGTCTTCTTGGTGGGGGTATTTCCCCTTAAATGGAGTAAATTCAGCATATTAAGTCCCTGCAGAATTTTGAGTGCCAGACCTAGTGCCTTTTTCTTAAATAGTAGGTAGTTGATTATTAAATTCCTATTTGTAGTGTCATAGTAGTTTAATTTAGTTATTGCTACAAAAAGTCTTTACTCACATTAATGTATAATTTTAATCTTTTATTTTTTTATGTATAATTATCAGATTAAATTTTTCCATTTGGGGAAGTTTTTTCTTACTTCAGTAAGTAGACATTAGATGTAAAATTCGTGTTGACCTTACCTTTTACCAGGTTACTTGGAGTGATATAGCAGGTTTAGATGATGTCATTACGGATCTGAAAGACACCGTCATCTTACCTATCAGAAAGAAACATTTGTTTGAAAATTCCAGGCTTCTGCAGCCTCCAAAAGGTAAAGTAAAAGCTTATATTTGCTACAGCATTAAAAATCTTGGAATCATTGAAACTTTGTCATTATAGAACAGGTGAGTTTGAAGTTAGATTTTCAAGAGAATGCTGAGATCCAGTAAACTTTTACAAATAATAGTTTTAATATAATTGCTCATTCTTCAGCTTTCCAAATTTAGATAAATTTTTCTCCCTATAGTTACACTGCAAAATAATCCCTTTATTTCAGACTCACTCATTACTTCCAAGTAAATGAAAATTGGGAAAAATCAAGGTTTAAAAAAAACCCCGAAGTCACAAAATGTGTTTTTTGTTTTTGAGATAATACTTTAAAAAGAAATTAAATTTATTGGGGTAGCACTGATTAATAAGATTATGTAGGTTCCTGTCCCATCACATTATCTGTAGAGGCAGAAGCAGATCTGGTGACCCAATAGAACTTCCAGTTTAGCAAAGATTGTATAGCATGTCTCTCACTTTTTCCAGGGTAATGTTCTTTCCTTCATCCACAACTATGTTAGAATGGTAGTCTTGAAAATGACCACCCCTTCCTCCACATAGATTATCGTATTATTTTAGGCTAAGAATATAAGTTTTCTATGCTGCCTTGGGTCACAGTAGTTTACTGTATCTTTGTGGATTTGGGTGTGTATTTAAAATCTTTGAATTCTTGTTGTTGCTTGTTTAAATCATATTAAATATGAATGTATACCAGAGGCTAAAGTTAAGTTCTAGAAATAAGCATTGTCTTTAAGTATTTTAAAAGTTAATTGTAATGTATTATTTTACTCATTCTTTCAGAATTAATATGAAATATAACATAAATGCTATGAATTGAGATACATTGTGTTATGGGAAATGTAGTGAGGATAAAGGCCAGTGGTCAGCAAGGCCAGGACTAAAGGTGGTTCTCTAATATCTGAACTGTGAAGAGTAAATAATTCAGTGAGGATATGGTAAGCAGAGCTCAGAATTGGTAACAAATGGTAGGCAACTATTAAGTCTTTTGAACTATTTTCTAAATAATGGAAAGATAATACAGAAATTTGAGCAAAAAGTCATTTCATCTGATTTATATATTTAAGTAAACACTTTGATTGCTCAGGAATGAATCAGGGATATCCACAATGGGTGTAGGAAGACTGTTTTGAAAGCCATTACCTTCATCCAAATGAGAGATAATAGAAATTAGTTTAGAGAATTAGACATGTAGCTGGAGAAGGACCAGTGGCTTTAATAAATATTTAGGAGATAAGGCTGATAAGACATGCTGATTGACAGGATAAGGTAAGTAAGGAAGAAGCAGCCCAATTAAGGATGGTTCCATCCTGAGTGCAGTTACTCATCAGATTTATTTGGGCATAAAGATCATAAGTTTAATTTTGAATGTGTGGAATTTGAGCTCCCCTATGACAAGTGTTGAATGTCAAATAAGTTGAATTGGTCTATTTTCTTTGGGCTGTTGTTAGTATGCAATAGTGCTCTGTTAGCTTGTGAAGCTGGAGGGTGTTAGATGATTTTATTTCTTAACCATTGATTGAGGGTTGTCAGTTTGGATGTGAAGATAATTGCCTTTAATATTCTGAACTGGACCTTTTTATTGAAGGCAGGATGTACAAGGTGCTATAATCCCAAATACTTGTCATCACTGATACTGAATATAGAATATGGCTCCTTCCTTTTCTTCTATTAAAAAGATTAATAAAAACAAGTGAATATTGGGACAAATTTTAGTGTGGGCAGAATTAATATGTTGATTATCACATAAACTAAAGCAAATATCTTGTTTTCTTAAAGGAAATAATAAAATAACATGTTAATTTCCAGGTGTTCTCCTCTATGGGCCTCCAGGCTGTGGTAAAACGTTGATTGCCAAGGCTACAGCCAAAGAAGCAGGCTGTCGATTTATTAACCTCCAGCCTTCAACACTGACAGATAAGTGGTATGGAGAATCTCAGAAATTAACGGCTGCTGTTTTTTCCCTTGCCATAAAGCTACAGCCTTCCATCATCTTTATAGATGAAATAGGTATGCTATGTTTTCTAGGGGAGCATTTTAAAATACCATTTTTAAGTGTGGTATGTAGATGACCAGATGGACTTTTAGCATTTTGTAGGCCAAATTGATAAAACAAAAGAGATAACCGCCATCCTAAGATATCACCCATAATTTCTGTGTTGCAGAATGGGTCTGTTCATTATCCTACTTGATAGTTTTTTCTGTGTTTTCCCTCTTACAGACAGAGTGCAATAGACATCCATGTACACTGTAGATACCTAGAAGTTGAACCATTAGGCTGTGTGTTGTGTTCATCTTCAACCTCACTAGGACTACCAGTTCTTCAAAGTGGTTATACCTGTTTTCACTTTCATTATTGTGTAGTTTGTATTCCTAGATACTCCCTAAAATTTGTTGGGGTTTTTTGTTTGTTTTTTTGTTTGTTTTGTTTTTAAGGAATTAGTAGTTTATGGTTTTGTTTTTTTTTGTTTTGTTTTTTTAAAATATATCTTTATTGATTTCAGAGAGAGGAAGGGAGAGGGAGTGAGAGAGAGAAACATCAATGATGAGAGAGTCATTGATCAGCTGCCTCCTGCACGCCCCCGATTGGGGATTGAACCGGTATCTCCTGGATCCTAGGTTGATGCTCAACTGCCCAGCCACGCCTGGCTGGGCTAAAATTTGTTTTTTTCAGACATTATCATTACTTTTTGCCAATTTAGATTGCATGAGTTATCTCATTATTGTTTTAATTTGGGACTTTCTGCTTACTATTAAGTGTGGGCATCTTTTAACATGTTGGTTAGTCATTTGCATTTCCTTGCTTTTAAGTTGTTGATATTTGGGGTGATTTTTCTTGATAATTCTTTTTTTTTTTTTTTTATATAGATATATATATATATCTTTATTGATTTCAGAGAGAGGGCAGCAGAGGGAGAGAGAGATAGAAACACCAATGATGAGAGAATCATTGGGGATGGAGCCCGCAACCCGGGTATGTGCCCTGACCGGGAATCGAACCTCGATCTCCTGAATCCTAGGTTGATGCTCAACTGCTGAGCCACGCCCTGCTGGGCTCTTGATAATTCTTTGTTGATGTTCGTTAGCATTGCTGGATCTTATGGGAAAACTATATTTAGCTTTGTAAGAAACTACTAAACTATCTTCCAAAGTGGCTGTACCATTTTGCAGTTTCACCAGCAACAAATAAGAGGTCCTGTTGCTCTGCCTCCTTGTCAGCAGTTTATTGGATTTTATCAGCCTTTTGGATTTTAGTTATTCTAATAAGTTTGTAGTGGTGTCTTATTGTTATATTAATTTGCAGTTCCCTAATGACATGTCATTGAGCATCTTTTCATGTGTTTATTTGCCATATGTTTATCTTCTTTGGTGAGGTGTCTGTTCAGATCTTTTTGGGTTGTTTTTCTATTGTTGAATTTTAAGAGTTCTTTGTATATTTTGGATACAAGCCCTTTATCAAATATATGTTTTGTAAATATTTTCCCCCAGTCTGTGCCTTGACTTTTCTCTTACCAGTGTCTTCCACAGGGAAGGATTTTTAATTTTAATAAGCTCTAACTGCATCATTTTTTCTCTGATGGATTGTGCTTCTGGTGTTGTATGTAAAAACTCATCATTATACCCTAGGTCACCTAGATTTCTCTTATATTGTATTCTGGCTTTATAGTTTTGTGTTTTACATTTAGATCTGTGATCATCCATTTTGAGTTAATTTTTATGAAAGGTATAAGGTCTGTGTCTAGATAATTTTTTTGCATAGGAATGGATGTCCAGTTCTTCTAGCACCATTTATGATATGCATTAAGTTTTTACAAAAATATTTTGTCCAACTTTTAAAATAGTGTTTATGTATATCTTTTGCCATCCTTTTCACCATTCTGAGCCCTTATATTTAAGTATGTCTCTTGTAAGCAGCATGCAGTGGTGGTTAACTGAATGCTGCTTACAAGTATGCAGGCAGCTAAACAATTTCTCTTATAAAAATAAGCAATTTAAAATGATTAGATTTTCTTTTACCCTTTTTTTGTGTGTGTGTGTTAATTTGATACATAGTCCAACAATGGAAAAATTGTTCAAAATTGAAACTATAAGAAATCCAGAATATATGTTTGCCATCACAAGACTGTCATGACATGGTAATGTTTTTTTGATATTTTTTTTAAAGCTTGGACCTAGAACATTACACAGCGTTTTGTACCACTTCAAATTCTAGTTTCAAGGCTGAAATGTGAAAGTTACTCAGAGATGGCCAGTAATTTGAAGGGATATAAGACAAAATATTTGAAATAGGGATTGTACTAGAAAATCCAGGATTTATTTTTAGTGCCCTTTTTCATTCTTAGATGTACCACCTTTCAGTTTTTTCATTCTAGAAGGAAAAATGTTTCCCTGCTTCTTAGAAGGATTTCATGTTCATTGTAGATAATTTGGAAGACAAAATAATTCAAAAGAGGAAATTAAAATTGTTTTTAAGTCTATCACTGAGCAATAACCAAAGTCATTTGCCTTTTTTTGTTTTGTTTTGTTTTTACCATGTATAACATTATATGCATGCTAGCTTGTGTATTTTAAACCATTTTCTGTCCTAGATTTTCCCACTTAGTAGTGTATTGACATTTTCTAATGTAATTTTATTTATTACCAGGGGAAGTGTGAGGAAAAAGATGTGACCCTTAATTAAGAGCATAAAGGATACAGATAATCTGGAAAGTTAGGCCTGAAGTATACAGATTTTCCTCTATACAGATTTTCCTCCAAGACACTACTTTATGTTTTTCTAGCCTCTCAGTACCAGATTCTATACTTCTTTTATAGATGTTAGCATAAATGTATTTTTAGGGGGGAAAAAGGAAGATTGTGAACTGTTGTTTTTTTTCAATTTGCCCAATAATTTGCCAAAACTGTTATAGCAGAATGTGTGAAAAGGCATAGTAACCCTTTTTCTTGTGATCTTTCAGGAAGTTGTCAGCTTTTGGTTAAATGATTTTAAATTATAAAGAGTAAATAATTTATTAATTTCTAATGTTAAGGACTTTTTTCTTTCTAGACTCCTTTCTACGAAACCGTTCAAGTTCTGACCATGAAGCTACAGCCATGATGAAAGCTCAGTTTATGAGTCTCTGGGATGGACTGGATACTGATCACAGCTGCCAGGTATTTGAAAAAAATGTACCTTAAACTTGTGTTGAAGAGAAAAACCTAGGGTGAAGCCTCTCCTTAGAATTTTTTTTAGGTATGTTTTTATTGACCGTAGAGAGAGGAAGGGAGAAGGAGAGATAGAAACATCGATGACAGAGAAACATCAATTGCCTGCCTTTTGCACACCCGTTACTGGTGATTGAGCCCAGAACTCAGGCATGTGCCCTGACTGCGAATTGAACTAGTGACCTCTTGGTTCATGGGTTGATGCTCAACCACTGAGTAACACTAGTCGGGCTCTCCTTGGAATTTTTAGAACCATTATGCCATGGAAGAGGAACTGACTAGTGGCTCTGGGAATGTTTCTATCCTTACTTACCTCCCTAATGCACAGGCTTTACTATTGGCCTCAGCTTAATTCCTTTAGTTTTTTGCAGTTTGTCGATTAATTTATTTGATTTTTAAAAATATTTTATTATTTTGTATTTCTTGTAGCCAGAGGGAGAAAAGGATCTCCTGTATCCACCACATTACCATAAATCAAAAGTAGGAAATACATCATTTTCAAGAGAGAAATTAAGCCACATGCTTTCCTTCTACATCACCTTTATGAAAACATAATTTCATTATGAGGGAAAGTGCCATTAGTATTTATTTCTTGGATGATTGGAGAAGAAAGTACAACAGATAAATTTAGGTGACATCGATAGAAACCATTTTTATTAATAATTGGTTCTGATAGCTCTCTTCAATGGGGGTAGTTTACAGGTTTCCCAAAACTAATATCCTCCTTAGCAACAGAATTTAAAGTACTTAGACAATTGAATAGTTTAGGCCATGTAAGAGAAAATAGCTTAATATTATATCCTATCCTATCAGATGATAGTTTTAAAAGCCAAGGAACCTTCGCCAGTTTGTCTAGGTGCTTAGAGCGTTGGCCCTCTGACTAAAGGGTCCCAGGTTCGATTCCAGCCAAGGGCACATTATGTCGGTTGCAGGCTCTGTCCCCATCGGGGTGCGTGCAGAAGGCAACCAATGAATGTGTGTCTCTCACATCAATGCCTCTCTCCCCCCGCCCCCTTCCACTCTCTATGAAAAAGCAATGGAAAAAATATGTGTGGGTAAGGATTAAAAAAAAAAAAGCCAAGGAAAGAGCGACAATTTGATGTTTATACTCCAGAGCCACTTCATTCAGAACCCCACAGCATGGTTCTGAAAGCATGAAACACAACTGAAAACTGAGTTTTCAGAACCATGATTCCTTGTGACGCTAGTAGTACTTACTGTTTTCATTATGACAGATTTTTATTTGAGGGAGCAAATAAAGATGTAATTTTTTTAATCAGATTTAAAAAATATATATATCATTTTTTTATTTCAGAGAGAGGAAGGGAGAGGGAGAGAAAGTTTTGAAACATCAGTGATGTGAGAGAGTCATCATTGATCAGCTGCCTCCTGCACGCCCCTAACTGGGAATGGAGCCTGCAACCTGGGCATGTGCCCTGACTGGGAACCGCAATCCTCTGGATCCTAGATCAATGCTCAACCGCGGAGCCACTCCCAGCCGGGCAAGATGTTACTTTTTTATTAAACTTCAGCCCCAATTTTTTCCCTTATGTTGAGGGGTTTAAAATTGACATTATTAATTTGAATAGCAATTTTAGACATTCTTCTTTAAGCTGAACCAGTTAGCTTTTCTCTAAAATTGTCTGTTCTATGACTATAGATGGAGCCCACTACCCCAGGTAACTTTCTGGAATGTCTGATACAGCCACAAAGGAAACAAAAATAGTTGTATGGCACAGTTAAACCTGTCACCACTACTGGAAATCCAAATTAACTGATGACATATTCTTCATCTTGAGAGACATGAGACATAAAAGATAACAGTGTTTTTAGGATAGTCATTGACATAAAGTTTTGAGGTATAAATTTAGATCTGATTTTTTAAAAATTTATCTTTATTGTTGAAAGTATTACAGGTGTCCCATTTTCCCCCCCAATTGACCCCCTCC